AAAAGTAAGAATATATCTTACTTTTTCTAAACTGTGAGTTTTGTTTCCTTTTCTTGTCTTTTGACACCGTGTAGAACTTCCAAAATTATGCTAGAAACTGTGTTTCTCTTTTTCTGTTCATAGTTTATGTATTGATTGTCACATAATGAGAAACATAAAGCTGACTATATAATTTTTCTTCTTTCATACAGTGATATTCAGTTACATGTGTAATTTATCTTTCAGACACTAAGAAAATACCTGACATAAACAAATTAAACTAGGAAAGGTTTATCCTGGCTTACAGTTTCAGTGGCATCAGTCCATGGTCAGCCGGACTGTGGAGAGGCAGAAACACCATGGCAAGTGGGCATGGCTGAAGAAAGCTGGGCCGTTCTTGGAGGCAAGGAATCAAAGAGAGGGAAGGAGCCCAAGCCACATTTCCATGATGTTTGTCCTTCAACTCTCCCCTTCTCTCTCTCTCTCTTTTTTTTTTCCTCTCCCAGTGATGACATCAAATTCTAACTCAGTGGACTAATTCACTGATGGAGTTAAAGCCTTCAAAATGTTGTCACACCACTGGGCCCCACTTTTTCATTGCTGTACTAGTGATCAAGCCCTCAATTTATGAGTATTCTGGGGACACTGCATATTTAAAGTATAACAATGATAGAATTCCTGTCAACTGAATAAATGCGTTAGCATTTTAGGCTGAAACCCACTCATTAAGGCAAAACTGTTCTTTTAATACGTTACTGAATTCAGTTACTTTGTGCTGGCAGATTACTTTTAAGGTAACTTTTTTCTTGTCATTTAAAAATTTTTATTTTAAAGAGGAAAAAATAACAAAGTTTAAAGAGAATAGGAGGTTAACAGTAGTTAGTTGTTTCTTGAGACAGGATCTCATTGTGTAGCCTAAGCTGGCCTCAGACTCACAGCAATCCTTTTGCCTCAGCCTTCTGAGTGCTGGGATTATAGGCAGCTACCACACTTGATGCTCTGAAATGCAACTACCCATTTTTTCTTCTCCCAATTCTCTGTTGTCCATCTTTATGGTTTGTTTTTCTTTTAACTGGCAAGTAATACTTTGTGTTAACTAGACAGTAGTTCTGTGTATAGAGTATGTGCTTAGCCTTGGTTCTATCACCACACCAAAGAAACAAAACAATAATAAAATTATATTTATGTGTGTGGGTGTATATATATATGTGTACATATATGTGTGTGTGTGTGTGTCAAATTAATTAGCATTATCTCATATCTTTACTTTTTGTGGTGAAAACACTTAAAGTCTAGTCAGCAGTTACCATCTAATATCAGAGGTCATTTGACCTTATTCTTCCTGCCTAACTGAAATTTCATGTGCAGTGAACCCTGTCTCCCAGCCCACTTGCCTCTTCAAGGTTAGGATTGCTCTTCTACTACTCTCTGTCAAAAGTCTTGTCACACAAGGACAGGCTTTGAGCAGAAGCCCCAGTCTGATGCACCAGTCCATTGGATCCTCTTTTCTGTGGTGTGATCTTGCTTTCTCCCAGTGATTATGATTGTATTTCATGGCATGTTTATGATATCTCTGTAAGTTGATGAAAACAAAGAAAAAGGAGGGAAAGCAGTGAGCTAAGGACAGTGAGCCATCCATGAGGGCTGTGTTCCTGGATACCCAGGCTCTGTGCTCAATGGCTTCCGTCCTCAGCCCATTGCACTGTTCTGTGCTCAGTGGTCAGGCAGTGTGTTCTGCTCATGTAAATACAGAGCTGGCACAATGACTGGAATGGTCTTCTCTGTCTGCTGCCCCAGCAGGGCCACACACTTGGGTGCTGGTAGGTCTGCACAAGTTGGTGTTCTAGGAGGACTGAGAGCTATCACAGCCCCATTTTCCTGTGTCTGTGTTCAGTGGAGGGTTAGGAAGGTGGGCCTGGAAGGGCATTTCCCTGCTATGTGAGCCCAGAGCAATTACTCTGTCTCCCTCAGACAGCAGTTTGGGCAGTGTCCAGGAGATTAATGCCAGGCTCCAATCTCACATTTCATATGTGGGGCTTGTTTTGCTTCTGCTCCTTGGATTTACACATGGCTACATTTCACTACTGAGGCCTATCTTTATGCTTAGCTTGCTGGGCTGGGCTGGGCTGGCTGGGCTGGGCTGGGCTGATGGGCAGCATGGCAGAGTGGGCTCCCCCTGGAGGCTCAACGTCAGAGCACTTCTCACCTGGTGTCTCCTTGCCAAGCCTATGGCCTGCAAGTGTGTGCATGCATACCGTGCTGCATCAGGAAATCATGTTATTTTTGTGAACAATTGAATATTAATTCCTGCCCTATACAAAATCACCTTTCTCAGCACATGTTGGAGCCCTCATATTTTCTGACTTAACACCAGGCAAGTCAAAGACTTGCACGATTCATTCTATTAACAAGCCTGAAATCTCCATTTCCAAGTCTACCTGTTCTCCCTGTCTGCAGACTCATGTGGCGAATCACAGAAGGTGTGGCACCATCAGTGAGACCCAGTAACAGGAACTAGATGTCTTCTATGTTCTACTCCTCCTAGTACTGTTTTGAAGGAGTTGCCCTAAATCTAGTTCAAATTTTACCCTAATTACTGGAAAATAACACTAGGAAAAAAGTCAGTGAAACTGCCAACCAAGAAACCAGTAATTAAAAGTGACTTCAGGACATACTACACTAAGGGCCAGGGAGAAAGCTCAGTAGAATAAGCACCTGTCTGGCAAATGCAGGGTCCTGAGTTCAATCCCCGGTACCTCACAAAAAGAAAAAGGATATACTGTACTTCCTTGTTGTTAGAAAGTGAACTCATTTGAGCAAAAGGCTGATTTAGCATTCGATTCACGTTAAAGGTGAGGGGAGTTCCAATGGGGGTCACACTGTGCTTGCCTATTTTAAACTCCATTTAAGGACACCAAAGAAATAATGGCTTGTGAGCCTGACAAAAGTGCCTCCCGCTCACACTGACACCAGCTCTCCTTAATTAGGTTATTGATGGCTGCAGGTTTTTTTCTTTGAAAAAGGACCTTTCTCCAGGGACTTGAGAAGACAGAAGGGGGGGGGGCAGAGCACAAAAGAGAGACTCACAAAGGGATCCTTTGTCTGTTGCAGGTGACCAGCCTTTGTGACAGCTTGATGGGAAGTTTAAGTCCATTTGGGTAAACTGAGCATGACCCATATGTCCCTGGGGACGATCTCTGGGATGACACAAGACAAGTGTTCACACTCGTGGGATTGGCTCTAGACTTGATGGAGAATAAGCTACTGAACTATAGGCCTGTGGGACCCCTCATAGGCTGTCCTGAGAGCCCCATTTCTCCACTCTGCCCAGCAAGTGGCAGTGCTGATTGCTGACTCTGTCTCCTTTAGGGCCCCAAAGGCCACTGTGCAGTGCAGGTGGACTTGTAGGGTGGATTTCACTGGTTGAAGCCGAGCTGGCAGGCTCTGTAGAGAGATATTTTATTAGCTCAGCTTCAGCAAGGAACTTGGAGGATCAGGTCCCTTTCATATTGGTTCAGGCTATCCCCATGGAACAAGGAAATGTAGACTGCAGGACAAGAGAGCAGCCTGCTGTCCGATCCCCTCTCAGACCACTGCTGTGTGTTCCACCTGCTCTTTGCTCACCTTGGAAGCCAGGTCACATCTCCACATGTCATACATGGGCATCTCAACTTGCAGGTTTGTGAGGGTCAGAGTTTCTGAAATTTTCCTGTGGCCTTTGAAAGTGGCAGACGATACGTTGTGTACTGCTGTTCTCTTTTTCAAAGATTTCTCTCCTTTGATGATGTAATCATAGCACACACAGTTTGGATTACTGTCACCTTCATACAAGCCTTGTTTGTGAGCATGGGAGGTTTGCAGAGATGTACCATGATGTCTCTAGTGTACACTCAAGGGTGAGAAGAACTATTTCGTGTTCCATGTCATGTGCATGTTATGTGCACGTATGTAACATCTGTGTATCCATGTGCACATGGCAGGCACCTTGGCACTCATCCTCACTTGCAAGGAGTCCTTCTGGGCCTTAAAGGTCCATTTTTTTTTTCACCAATAGACTCTTTGGAGCAGTTTTAGGATTGTGCAAAACCTGAACAGAAAGTTTCAGGGTTCCCTGTACTTTCCTCTTACTGTCCCATTAAATTATAATGGATGAGCCAATACTGAGGATTATTGTGAGCTAAATTCCATGAGCTACATTTGGGTTCACTCTTTGGTGTACTTGTGGGTTTTGACCAATGTACACTGAACATATCCACCACTCTGATGTCATTCATAGTTTCCCCAGCCTAAAACTCCTCTATACTCTGTCCATTTATCCTTCCCCTGTGTCACTGGCAATGCTGTTTCTGTGATTTGCCTTTTCCATGATGTTACACAGTTGGGATTGTAGAGTGCGTATCCTTCCAGATGGTAATGTAGATTCCCCCTGGTCTTTTTGTGGCTTGACACCTCATTTCTTGTCAGTGCTGAACAGAGTCCATTGTCTGGATGTATCGCATTGTATTTACTCATTTGCCTACTGAAACACATCTTGGTTCCCTCCAGGTTTGGGCATTGAAGACAAAGCTGCTGTCAACCTCTGTGCAGGGTTCTGTGTAGACTTGAGTTGTCAGCACATTTGGATAAATATCAAGTAACAAAACGGTTGCATTGTAAAATGCTGGATGTAAAAATCATCCGGAAGGTATGGCATTTCCAAGCACACTTACAGATTTTGTTTTGTTTTGTTTTTTTACCAGGGATGACTACCAGGAAGATGGCTTCTGCCAGCCTTACCGGGGGATTGCCTGTGCGCGCTTCATTGGGAACCGGACCATTTATGTGGACTCTCTCCAGATGCAGGGGGAGATTGAGAACCGAATCACAGGTAGGAACCACAGTTCTTTTTTGTAACATCACAAGCACATATTCAGGCTTCTTTCTGCACAGACAGTCCCCACTTTTGTGGTTCATCAGTGCCACAGACAGCAAATTTCTCATCTATCTTGCTTGTAGCAGGCAATTAGAGAACTTTGCCAAAAGCCGTTGCCATTGCTAATGTGATCTGCCCTAAAATATTTCTACTTTATATTTTTCAATGAGTGTGGTAATCTATTTTGTGTTATTATAACAAAATACCTGGGACTAGGTGCCTTATCAAGAACAGAAGTTTATAAAGCCAGTTTTAGAAACTGAAACTCCAAGGAGCACGGCACCTGTTCTGGTAAAGCCTCCTGACTCTGCCATATCACATGGTGGAAAAAAAGAGGGACATGTATGAAAAAGAGAGGTTGCTTGGCAGGACAAGAGGCTGGAGGAGCTAAAGAAGGCCCCAGATTATCCTCTATAACATCCTTCTTGAAAGAGATAACCAGGTCTCATGAGAATGACCTAACAACCTCCCTCTAGGCTGCACCTGCTAACAACACCACACTCAGCTGGGCCCCAGCTTAGGAATGCCCCAAAGGCAGTGCCCTCCCAACCATGAGAATTACCAAGTGTGGGCTTCTAAAAACACAGAAGTGGCCAAACTGTGGATCCAAAGCCCCATCCTCACTCATGGTCCCATTGCATCCCTTGGCTCCTGTCCTGGGATGGCCACCATCGCCCTGCCTGACTTCTTTGTCCTGCATTTCCTGCCTTTTGGACTCTCTCAGAGCCATATTTGGTCCAGAAGAACTCAGACTTAACTGCCATCGTTAACATCAGGGTCGCTGTGGCAAATGCAGATTGTCAGCCCTCGGTTTCCAGGGAGCAGACCTGGAGCTTTGGATACTTGGCTTGGGATCTGAGCAACATGGCAAGTCACTTTGAAAATGGAGTGCTCATGCTCAGCTACTTCAGGCATTAACTGCTTGCACTGGCTCCGCAAACCAATTTGTACACATTCGTAGGATTTTCCTTGGTGGAAATGCCCTGGAAAGTGAAAAGTTGAACCAGACCAGAGTGCTACAGAATCCTCATCCTCTTCCTCCTGTCCCTGTCCTCTCCACAAATACACACACATCTTTCTTCCCAGACACCATAAGGAAGCAGAAATCCATGTGAAGATGGCAGTGTCCCAGGGCCTTAGTTTAGATGGGTTCTCCTGTGGTGGCTCTCGGCCCCAGCGATGTGTAGCATCAATGGTAAACTTCATGCCAAGGTTCCCTGAGCAAGGCTCCCTGAGGAAGGTTCCCTGAGGAAGGTTCCCTGAGGAAGGGTATGGACATAGATAACTGTCCATGCCCTGGTAAAGCTGGAGTGAGGGTCCTTCGTCTCATTGCCGTGACCCTCTAAGCTTGGCTCACCTTTGCACTGGGTCAAATTTTTTTTGCCATGAGCAAAATTTCTCAAATCTTTGGTACTCCAATATTCCAGTAAAAAGCACAAATATATTCCTTGTGTCATTACTTAATATAGGATGAGCCTTGAATACCCCTAGGCTGAAAAATTTGAAATAGAAATGCTCCAAAATCTGAAACCTGATACTATAAGAGGAATCTTATGATTTGGTACAAACAACTTTGTTTCAAGCACAAAATTGAAAAGAGTTTATAAAAGTACTTCAGGCTGCATGTATGAGGTGTATAAAACATAAATGAATTTGTGTTTGGATATGATCCCCTTACTGACACATCTCATTATAGATGTGCTGATATTTCAGAATCTGAAAACAGCCCCAACACAGAACGCTTCTGATCCCAGGCAATTCGAATAAGGGGATTCCACCTACACACCCAGACTTGTGTTTCCAGAACCAAAATGGGTCAAGAGAATAGTGTGCACTCCTAAAAGCATCACACCTGAATTTTCTCTTCAGTTCTCTTTCACTGAAGAAAAAGATATGGCTCTTACCAGAAACCACGCACTACAGCATATTTGAGTGTGTTCTCAGCAGCCATTAAAATGCTTGTCACACACTGCAGGATGGACTGGATGTCCTGCTAGCTGGCCAGCACTGATTCCCATGAGGTCCACCCTCACTTATTCCTCAGCAGTGTTTCAAGGATCAAACAACTGAGATGTCCAAGTAGGCTGATTTTATAGCAGTTCTGAAAGAAAATGTTAGAATGGGGGTTCTATAATCTGGGGCTTATCTATTATTTATTATTTTTTTATTATCATGTTGTACAGCGACTAGCACCCAGGAACTTGGTCATGCTAGACAAGTACCTGGCTGAGTAACTCAGTGTTGTAGTTTGGGTTTTTGTGAGGGGGACAACATAATACAAAACACACATATTTCCCTTTTCCTTTTATTTTTTAAATTTATTTTAAAGAGAGTATAATAATAGATAAGGCATTAAAGATGGTATATATTTAAAAGAACAAGAAGAAATGGTGGTATTCAACCACCATTCTATTGCACATTGCTGTCCTCAGTTGGATTGTCTCCCTAGTAAGAACCTGAAAGAATGAATAAAATCTGAAAGGTATAATAGATATAATAAAACAAAAAGAAACTTAAGGAATAAACAATGGAGATGAGGGAAAGGAGAAAAGATAGGGGAAAAAGAGAAAGGGGAAAAGCATCTAAGTAAATATACAGAATAACTGAGAGGATTGTACTACTGATTTCTATTAGTTTTGTGAAAGTAGCTGTTAATGTTTAAAATTTTTACTTTGACTAACTCCATGCAAATATCTGTAATCAGGACATATTTTATCAGATTGTTTTATAATGAATCACCCAAAGAGTGCAGAAAGTCTGTCTACACACTAAAAACCAAAGAATCCAGCTGAGGGCCTGAATCCCACAATAATGTCCTGCGTAAATCCAGCTGAAGAGCTAGAGCCCATAAAATGCCTCCCCTGTGTCCAGCTGGAGGCTTAGAGCCCACAGCTGGAGGCTTAGAGCCCACCCGCTTCCCGGATCTGCACTGGGAAGGCCCAAAGTTCAGTGGTATAAACTAGAAAGTCTGCGCCAGCAGGATGAAGGATCTGTGCTAGCCGGCGGAGGGACCTGAACTGGAGCCAGGAAGCAATGGTCAAAGAATGAGCCAGAGCTCTGCTGGAAAGTACCACAGCCATCCTCAGCAACAGTGAGGTCACAAGCTCCTCCAGTGTTCATCAAAGCTGAGTTCCCATCAGGAAAGCCAACATGACAAGCTTCACCAAGAGACTGAACAGTGTACTACTCTGGAGCCGGGAAGAGATGGTCAAGATGAGAATCAGAGCTCCGCCAAAGTGAACCATAGTCATTTTCAGCAGCAACAAGATCCCAACCTCTTCCTCTGACAAGAACAACTGAGTTCACCAGGAAAGCCAGCATGACAAAGTCCTCCAGCAAAACAGCCCAAGAGAACCAGCAGCTTCCAGCAGCCTCCCAACAGTGTCTCCAAGCAGCTTCCATAACACCCTCTCTTCTTGTCCTATTTTAAATTGCTGGCAGCAATCTTCAGATGGGCTTCCTATACCCAGCACCACACTGGTTCAGTTCAGCTGGGTATAACAAGTTGTCATCAGCTGTCAATTATTCAGCCAGGAAACACCCTCCCACCAAATAAATATGAAGTTGTTCCGTATTGACTTGAGTTCTGGTCTACACATAAGAGTAAAGACTGATTTGGTGGGGTAGTGTCCTGTTTACAGAATGTTGCACGATATTCAGGTTATGGATGAAGACAGAGGACGTGGATGGTAGAACATAGGTGATTAAAATGATCTTTTCAGGAGTGGTACATCTGGAGGAAGAAGAGTAATTCTATGATCAGCTGTGGCATCTTCTCAGTTGATTACCTCATGAGATGCATCAGTTAATGCTTAAGAAACAGATTTAAAGCAAGACATACAAATATAGAAGAATTTATAGATTGACCTACAGTGGACATCCAGAGTCAGGGGTATAAGAGTGTAAAAGAGCTGCATGCTGAGGATCAGAAGGATGCAAGTGAAGGCCTAGGGCTCAGTGCAGTGACCCCTGTGAGTCCATGTCAGTAGGCCAAAGAGGCTGCACTGGAAGCCAGGAGAGGACAGCCAAGATGAAGGCAAAGCCTGAGTTCCTCCAAAGAAACAGAAGTGAGTCTTCCTTCTTCATTTCCCTTTTACACCCCTCTGGGGACAACTCTCCCTAGAATGGGTCTTCCATTCCCAGAAGTATGCCAATCCAATTTAGATGAGCTTTTCTGACTCAAGTTGACACAGTCAGTCATCTCAGCCAGGTTTGAAGTTAAGGCCGACATTTCTGATAGCCCTCCCTTAATTTCCAGAGGTTCAAAACTCAATTCATCTACCAAGTCTCAAATACCCTGTGCCTGGTTTCTTACCCTCAATGTCAGAACTTGATGGAAAAAAGCCTGAGGACTTGAAAGTGGATGTGAACAGAGCACTTGGGGGCAGTGCTGGGTAGGGCAGGGCCCACAGCCCTCAGGCTGTGAATGCGCCTGGCCAGCTGGCTCCTAGACCTCTGTCCCAGTCCATTCCAATAGACTCTGAGAACTTTGATTCTCCAGCATACGATCTCAACAAATCATTTTCCAGATAAAGGAACAGTCCCAGAAAGGACTGAGTGACCAGCTCTCGCTATGACTGTGGGTCAGGGGTCTCCACAGGGTTACTTACTGGCTGTACCTAGCTCAGCTCAGTCAAGTTATGGGTCGAGCTGGGGATCCCCTGGGGGCCTCTCTTTAGCAGGTCCTACACAAGTAGAAGCAGGATGGCGGTAATGGCCCACCAGTGCCTTCTTTGGCTAGCATCCCTCCTCACTGATGTGTGTATCCAGCCCATGCTGCAGGGCCCCTGTCCCCTGCAGTGTCTCCTAGCATGCTCCATCCTTTGACACTTGGGCTCAAATGCCTTCTGCTGCTGGTGATTCCTTGCTTCCCTCTGTCATACAATTCACCAGTAGTAATACTGCCCTCCCTGCTTCCTCACACTGCCCCCCAGCCACATCTTAGAGCAGTGTCCCTTTCCCTGAACACCTTTCTTGTGCCCCGTGGGCTTCTGGCAGGCCTGGGAACTAGATACAGGGCCTCTCTGGCCCTGCACCATCTGCTGGTCCCAGGCTCTGCATTCCTGTACCCACAGAGCCCCACTCCTAATGGATCCCTGGGTGGTGACTCTAGGTGTGAAAGGCAAGGTGAGGCTTCTCGCAGGGGAGGTAGGGCCACCTGAGGCAGGGGGTCGAAGGCCTACCTTTCCTTCCATCCTATTCTTCTTAGGAAGTTCATATGGGTACCCCTGGGGCCAGAGGCAGCTGCTGATCAGAGCTGGTGATGCGTGTCCTGGACCTGCCCTGGGAGACCATCAGGGCTCTGTGTGAGGAACGGGGCACCCTGCAGGGTGTTCATGGCTGAATGGAGGGAATTAGAAGTATGGGGCAGTGTTCAGGGCTGAGGGGTAGGGGAAGGCATGAGGGCTGGCAGTGCTAGGTTGGCGTATGGTGGCTTTAGGGCCTCTGGGTGGGGAGTATGGTTAGTGTTGAGCTTGTGCAGGCCTGAGTGGGAGGAATCCGGGTGGGAGGGTCTGAGTGGGAGGAGTCCCGCTGGGAGGGGTCTGCAGCACCGTTTCTGTTTCTGAATGGATGTTGTCTCCAGCTTGGGTGGGCAAGGTGGTGTAGAGGCCCAAAGTAGGAAGCTGGGGAGAAGGCAGGTTTTCAGCTTGAAACACAGACCAAGAATGCGGAGGAGGGTGCTAGGAGAGGGTTGAGGTTCGGGCGTTCGGGGTTAGGGACTGGCCCTCCATTCAGGGCCATCTGGCTTTCCTCCGCAGCGGCTTTCACCATGATTGGCACCTCGACGCACCTGTCAGACCAGTGCTCCCAGTTCGCCATCCCGTCTTTCTGCCACTTCGTGTTCCCGCTGTGTGACTCCCGTTCCAGGGCGCCGAAGCCGCGTGAGCTGTGCCGCGATGAGTGTGAGGTGCTGGAGAGCGACCTGTGCCGCCAGGAGTACAGCATTGCTCGCTCCAACCCGCTCATCCTCATGCGGCTGCAGCTGCCCAAGTGCGAGGCACTGCCTATGCCCGAGAGCCCAGACGCTGCCAACTGCATGCGCATTGGCATCCCGGTGGAGAGGCTAGGCCGCTGTGAGTGCTGCGGGTCTGGACCAGGGAGAGGGGGTGCGCGCTCCGGGGACAGAGAAGCAGGTTTGGGAGCCTTTGAGTCCCTTTCCTTCCGTGGACCTGGGGTTCAGCATCTCTAGCATAGCAGTTATCTGAGTTCCTGCTGCAGAAGGCTGCTGGATGAGAGAAGGGGACTGGACAGCACCAAGCTTGCCTGATGGTCTCGAGTTCCTATGCCTTTGGGGAAATGCAGACTCCCTGCCCGGCCAGACCTCGGGGCGCTAACGTTGGGAGGCCAAAAGATCTTAGCCTTGTAGTTTGAGTCAGACACCATGCAAGTGAAGAATCAGGACCTACAGCTGCCCACACCAGCAGAGATCTAGGAGGCTCCCACTTCTAGGCACTGGGCACCCCAGAGAGGGGCCTCAGAGGCCAGCTGGGCACTTTGTTCTGAGCAGAGATGCTGGCATGGCCATTTTGGGGTCTCCGAAGGGCAGGAGATGTGCTCACTGCCCTGCCCCAGATACATGAGCTGAGGCCAGTTAGGGTAGAAGTCACGTGACAGCACTGCTGACATCTTTGAGAAAAACTGTTCCCTCTGAGTCACCCCCTTGAGGACTGAGACCCAGACTGATGCCATATTCTTTCTAGGCTCTGGCTATATTTTGCTTTGGCAGCTGTACTGGGGCTTCCTACTTGGGCAGGCCTCCTTATCAGGGCAGCCTGGCCTAAACTCTGGCTACAGGGCTGACACTGTGACCTTGAGAAAGGGGCTTAAGCTCCCATTTTCTCATAGTCCATGGGACTAACAGGACTGACATTGTGGAATTGGAATGAAGATTAAGCAAGTTAATAATTAGACAAGGTTTGGAACCACTCACAGGGTAAACACTTCAATTGTCCAACAAATTCACATCCTCTGTCCTGGAATCCCTGGTGGCCATGGCAGTCGGGTGATGGCTGAGCTGGGCTCCCCACTGGGGGGTGGAGGTGGCCTCCAAGCTCACCAGGTCTAGCTGGGATGGCCTTTGCTGCTTCTGCAGTTCAACATTGTTTCCAGAGCCAGTGAGTTACAAGGGTGGCGGTGCCAGCATCCTGTCCCAGCTCAGGCAGTGGAGTACAGTGTCTCCCGGGTGCCATGTGTGCTCCAAGAAAGACCAAGCATGACTGGACAGGTTCCTTCCACTACTGAACCCTCAGCTGCACTTGTAAGCTTGGGACTAAGTTGTTACCTTTAGTGCTGCTTTTCTTGGACATTATGCAGAGCCCTTTCTTTGGAAGCTCAGGCTTGGGTGCATGTGGGCAAAGTTTTTTTGTGATTCTTCTCTGGAATAGCCTAGGGAGGTGAGCCCTTAATCCTGCGTGGGCCCCATCCCCTGGGTTTGGGCCTCCTAACATGCCTGCTTCTCCAGACCACCAGTGCTACAATGGCTCCGGCTCAGACTACAGAGGCACAGCCAGCACCACCAGGTCGGGGCACCAGTGCCAGCCATGGGCCATGCAGCATCCCCACGGCCACCAGCTCTCCAGCGTGGACTTCCCCGAGCTTGGAGGTGGCCATGCGTACTGTCGGAACCCTGGAGGCCAGATGGAAGGTCCCTGGTGCTTTACTCAGAATAAAAACGTACGCATGGAACTGTGTGACGTACCCTCCTGTAGTATGTATTCTTTTTTTTTTTTTTTTTTTCATGTTCACTGTTGAGTTGGTTTTTAATAAGAGCATCCTGTCTGGGCCCAGGATGCTGGGAACTCTAGGTTACCTTTATGATTGCTTGTTTTAGATAAAATGATTGTTGTTTACGAAAGTAATAGCAGATCATTATAAATGTCTTAAAATACAGAAACATCTAAAGATTGTCGTGCAAGTTCACCATCCAGCGATGACCACTGCTTGCACCCTTTTCATTTGTAGGCTCTGGGATGTCTACTGCACAGTGCCTCCCAATATTCCTAGATCTCTCCCCTCGTCCCCCGGCTTCTCAGCTTTTATCTACACAGTTGGCAGAATGAGGAAAAAACACTTCAATTGTCCAACAAATGCACATCCTCTGTCCTGGGATGTTGTATCTGTCTCTTATGTTGTTAATAGGAAAAGAGTATAAGGGTTGAAAACTTAAGCACTTTTTGCCACTGGGTTCAGTCACATCCACATCAACTGCTCCTGTTGGTGGGTGGTGCAGATTCAGCTGGGACTAAGACGCCAGTGGTAGGAGACTTTGATAGTGGAGTGAATCCAGCCCCCCTTGACTTTGGACACCTCCACCTGGCAGAGGGGCAGCCATGTGTGCCCAGCCCTGCTGACAGCCAGCACACATGAGTATTTATTAATCCTCTTGAAGTGTAATTTGGCAGCTCCAAATTTGGCATTGCCTTTACACACACACACACCCCTTTAAGAATGTTGGGTGTTAAATTGTCATCTAGCTCCTCTAGAGCATAGCAGCCCTGTAAAAGCATTTCCTAGCCAACACTTGGGAAGCTGAAGCAGGAAGACCATCCTAGTTTAAGGCCAGCCTGGGCTACATAGCAAGACCCTGTCTAAAGCCAGGAAGGAGATCTATGTTGCCCTGTTAGGGAAAAAAAGTAGGTTGCAGAGCAAGAACTACGTTGATATCACTTTTTTATTCTATCACTTTGCTTTGAATGAAAAAAGTGTATGGGCTGGGAAGATAGCTCAATAGAATAAGCACTTGCCTGGCAAGCACAAGGTCCTGAGTTCAATCTCTAGTACTGGAAAAAAAGAAAAAAGTTGATTGAGAAAAAGTATGTTTGTGGGACTGCAGAGACATTTGTTTTTCATGGTAAAATTTTGGAAAGATGCATACTAAACTTTTAACAGTGATTTCCCCAGCCCCACAGAAGAGTTAACATATAATTAATGAGCATCTGATAGTTTTGTAATTAAAAATAAATCAAAGCAGAAAAATATATGTGTTTGTAGAGCTGTCAATTCCTGTAATTTTATGTTGCAGAAATACTTGTGCATACAAGGCAGAAATGCAAGGACATTTCTTACAAAAACTCTTATGAGAGCTGAAAACAGCCAAAACAGACTGCTAATTGTTAGGAGGTTGGCTGGGCTAGAACGCCCATCGCAGGGAACAGTAGTAAACACATATACAGAGCTGTCCATTTGCCTGAAAAGTGTCTAAAATATTTCATTCTGCCCCCAAATTAGTAAATGAAAATATATAACACAATTCTTTTTAAAATGAGGTCTTATTTAAAATTCTATTATAAAACATGTGAAACTATTGTTTCTATATTTCAAGATACTTAAATATTAGTTATTAAAAACTGAGTAATCTCGTCACAGTGTGATAGCCTTAGATGAACAGGGCTATTAGGAATGTTCACGGTTTAGACCCCACACTTCTGTAATACTAAGTATTTTCCAAATAAGCATGTGTTGATAATTTTTAAAAATAATAATAAAGCTAAGGCCCCTCTAACTGTGTGGACAGTGCTCAAATTCTGGCCTTGGCATGGGGAACTTGGAAGCTCCCTGCACCCCTAAAAAACAAGGAATGATCCAGAGTGTGGTCTCGACCTCCCTAAGGCTTCTGGAGCACCTACTTCCTGGGCCCTTGGTTGCTGAGTGGAACAGAAGGAAGTTTTGTCTGTGGTTTTATTTCATCTTATTTTAGAAGGCAGGTCTGGCACTAGAATACACATTCTTTGCTCTTTCAGAGACCACATTGGCCAAAGACGATTTGTTTGCTTCCAGATGGAGCTTAGTCACACAGTCATCTGAGTCTGGTATAATTATTTACAGGGTTAAGGGGAAAACAGAAGACCTGGAGTTCACCAGGGAAATGGAGAAGTGGTCCTCCAGAGAACCAGCTCCCACCGTGTACAGGAGAGGGGCCAGCCTGGAGGCACCCCACTTGCTCTTAAACACAGTGTGGGGCACTGAGGGCCAGCAGAGGGGGGGCATCAGGAGGGAGGGGGCTGAGCAGCCCTGAGCAGCCAGTCATCTTACCTGTGCTACCTAATGCCCTGGACCCAGCCTCTACCTCAGTGGGTCAGCCTGGCCCCTGCTGTACTCTTCTGTACCCTCCAGTAAATCCTGTAGAGGGAGACAAAGCATTGCTTTGCACTGCAGAAAAAAGAAAAGAAAAAAAAAAAAAATAATGAAAGGTAGCCAGAAAGAAGGCATAGACTCAGCATGCATGGTTTTTCAAGAACTTTACCCCTGCAGTACATAGGTATGGGGCAAACTCAGGCCCCCCATGCCCCTTTAAATCAAGTGCATATTTTTAATTAGCCTTAAAATTTTATCTTTGGGGGGGCAGGGGGTGATGGCTCAGTGGAATAAGTGCTTCCCTGGTAAGTGCAAGGGTCTGAGTTCAATCCCCAGTTCCAAAAAAAAAAAAAAAAGTTATCATTATACAAAAATGGGGGGGGGGACAATCAAATGTTGAAAGAGTGAAAGATAACTTCCAGTCCCAGTATACCAAGATTATCCCACCAAGGACTAGGATGTTCCAGAATCTCTGCCAGTGAGGGGATCCTCAGGACCCTGGACTGGAGTTGAGCACCGAGTCGGTGTACCCAGGATCCAGAAAGCACGGTAGATGTGGTTCCTGTTGATGTTAAGACCACTGGGGCCCATGCACACTACCAGATGCACACTGTAGTCTTTGTCCACAGTGGGTGGTTTGGGTTGTGTCCCACAGATCTATGGAAACATGTGTTTTTCAGTGCCTTCCCTTTTTCTTTGGTCAGATATGCTGTTATGCCTGTCTGTGCCTGATTATCCACTCACTCTAGAGTATTTTGGAGGCAGGAGGAAGATGGGCAGGTGGTGGAGAATTGAGAGTCAAGAAGAAAACATTTTCCCAAAACTCACAGGAGCCATGTTGTCATTTGCAGGTCCCCGAGACAGCAGCAAGATGGGAATTCTGTACATCCTGGTCCCAAGCATTGCAATTCCCTTGGTCATCGCCTGCCTGTTCTTCTTGGTCTGTATGTGCCGGAATAAGCAGAAGGCCTCTGTGTCCACGCCTCAGCGGCGGCAGCTGATAGCCTCACCCAGCCAGGACATGGAGCTGCCACTCATCAGCCAGCACAAACAGGTCTCCTTATGTGCACCCCTCAGCCAGCTCCTCAGGCTGAAGCCTGGGGAGTGGTTACCTGTGGCATCAGGTTTCTGAGTTTTCTTGACTATAACATGTCATTCTTGAAACTACCCTTCATTCTGGTGTTGCTTCCCTAAAATGTACCAGATACATGTCCTTAGAAACTGAGTGGCAGGCCTATTGAAAATTCATCATGGGTGCATCCCAGACAAAGCCAGGCTCTTGCTTGGCTTTGCAGAGTGTTTATACTTGTTAGGAGCCTCAGCTCTGCCAAGAGGTAGCACCAGAAACCGGACATCCACCAGGCCCGCAGTTGGTGGCTTTCTGTGGTATTCATAAGGCCCAGGACTTGGCTTCTGCTCAGCTCCTGGTCAGGTTGGTTTTGCTCTGGTTTGTTTCTCAAGAAAAGATGAATATAGTTTCTGAATGGAAGTAGGAGAGATGTAAAAGGCAGCTGTCCCCTTTGTAAGACTTCATGGTGGCAGGGAGGTAGGGAACCCTGCAGCAGTGGATGAGAAAGTGGACTGCAGCCTCTCCAGCATTTGTGGAGGGGAGCTCACACTCACTACTGGCTTCAAGGACACCTTTCCCATTGGGCTTCGTAGAGGTGCTTCCAGGTAGCCAGAGCCAGCTTATCCAGTAAGCTCTTTGGTCACACAGTCAGCGGGTACTTGCTGTAGGCCAGCGATGGCTTTCAAGAAGGACACAGCTCCACCTTCATTCCTTAGGCTGGCAGCCAAGGGCTCCAAGGAGAAGAGTGTAAGCCCAGGCCCTAGACTCCAGGAGTGGAGCAGGCCCAGGGCTGGGGTGGGGGAGAAGTGCTCACAGTACCTGTGTGGTTCTTTGACCAACATACATTGGGTTAAGAATCTAATCCAAAGGAAGCCATGGGGCAGGCCCATTATGGAGAATAGCTGGACTGGGCTTTAAAAATGACAAAATTGTGAAAGACAAGAAGTCAATAAGTAAAGAACAGTGTGTCACCCTGTCATGTGAGGGAACACTAGAGTCCAGAGTGACCCCATGAAAGCTAGAGCTCAGGCAAGGCTTCAGAATATGTGTCTGCAAATGTGAGCAGGTGCACACACACTCCCTCATTCACACGTGCAAACGTGCTAGTGGAAAGGGAGTCTGTGGTGCACACTCAGCCATGTTCTGGAGCTGCCTGATCAGCAGCCTGGTTGGAGCCATGGGAGGTTTAAGACAGGAAGGCGCAGTGAGCAGAGCAGGGGAGCCTGGGGCTGCTGCAGTGCCAAGCCAGCCATGGAGGCACAAGTACTGTGTTCCTCCTGGGGACCCTCCCAGCCATCTGCCCCTCCTTCCCAGCTTGCAGGTATGAAAGGGCTTGACCTGAGCTTTCCTTCTTGCAGGCCAAACTGAAGGAGATCAACTTGTCCTCAGTGCGGTTCATGGAGGAGCTGGGGGAGGACCGCTTTGGAAAAGTCTACAAAGGCCATCTGTTCGGGCCCACCCCAGGTGAGCAGACCCAGGCAGTAGCCATCAAGACACTGAAGGACAAAGCAGAGGGGCCTCTCCGGGAGGAGTTCCGCCACGAGGCCATGCTGCGGGCACGGCTGCAGCACCCCAACATCGTCTGTCTGCTGGGTGTCGTGACCAAGGACCAGCCCCTCAGCATGATCTTCAGCTACTGCTCACACGGCGACCTCCATGAGTTCCTGGTCATGCGCTCACCACACTCAGATGTGGGCAGCACTGACGACGACCGCACCGTGAAGTCTGCGTTGGAGCCGCCTGACTTCGTGCATGTCTCAGCACAGATTGCTGCGGGGATGGAGTACCTGTCCAGCCACCACATGGTCCACAAGGACCTGGCCACCCGCAATGTGCTGGTGTACGACAAGCTGACAGTGAAGATCTCAGACCTGGGCCTCTTCCGTGAGGTGTATTCTGCCGACTACTACAAGCTGATGGGGAACTCGCTGCTGCCCATCCGCTGGATGTCCCCTGAAGCAATCACATATGGCAAGTTTTCCATAGACTCAGACATCTGGTCCTACGGTGTAGTCCTGTGGGAGGTTTTCAGCTATGGCTTGCAGCCTTACTGCGGCTACTCCAATCAGGATGTGGTGGAGATGATCCGTGGCCGCCAGGTGCTGCCCTGCCCGGACGACTGCCCAGCTTGGGTCTATGCCCTCATGATTGAGTGTTGGAATGAGTTCCCCAGCCGGCGGCCCCGTTTCAAGGACATCCATAGCCGACTCCGGGCCTGGGGCAATCTGTCCAACTACAATAGCTCGGCACAGACCTCCGGGGCCAGCAATACCACGCAGACAAGCTCTCTGAGCACCAGCCCTGTGAGCAACGTGAGCAATGCCCGCTATGTGGGGCCCAAGCAGAAGGCCCAGCCCTTCCCACAGCCCCAGTTCATCCCCATGAAGGGCCAGATCAGGCCCATGGTGCCCCCACCCCAGCTCTACATCCCTGTCAATGGCTACCAGCCCGTTCCAGCCTACGGGGCCTACCTGCCTAACTTCTACCCAGTCCAGATCCCCATGCAGATGGCTCCCCAGCAGGTGGCCCCTCAGATAGTCCCCAAGCCCAGCTCACACCACAGTGGCAGTGGTTCCACCAGCACAGGCTATGTCACTACAGCTCCCTCTAACACGTCTGTGGCAGACAGGGCAGCCCTGCTGTCTGAGGGCACTGAGGACACACAGAACATCCCTGAAGACGTGGCCCAGAACCCTGTACAGGAGGCAGAGGAAGAGGAGGAAGGCTCTGTCCCAGAGACTGAGCTCCTGGGAGACAATGACACTCTGCAAGTGGATGAGACTCAAGTCCAGCTAGAGGCCTGAGGGACAGACAGTACCCAGGGCACCCGAGAGAAGTCCCCATGGGACCTATAATGACTTCAGCCATTTTTCAGCAGTCACAGATTCACAGTCACAAGAGCTCAAAGACCTAAGACTGTGGAACCCTGTTCCTGTCTTATCTGCTGTTTGTGCCTTCTCGGGCTGGAGGTCATTTCAGCCAGTGGCATCTGAGCGGGGCAAGGTCTCAGCAGCACAAGCTCCTACAAAGCAGGACATGGTGACCCTGGTGCTAGCTGCATTTATTCTGGGTGCAGATAGGTAATGAGCTGCAGCTACCTTGCAAAGAAGAAGAAAAAAAATAGGTGGTATGTCCACTCCCTATTGTATGCAGATTGAATATTTAGAAATGGGGGAACAGGCCTGCGAAAGGTAGCAGGGAGGAACCTCGGGATTGGAGATCCCAGGTGCGAAGGTGGAAGTAGCTCTTTGCTCCCCATTGCCTCCATCTCTGCAGTCTCCTTCTCCCTTCAGCAGCCAAAGACAGTGGAGCAGGACACCATACTGCCACCTGTCCCGGGGGAAGGGGCTTCTCAAATGGGACTCAGTGTTAAAGCAAAATGTGCCTTTCCAGAAACCAATATGGCTTTGTATCCTTTGAAAATGGTTTTAATTATACGACATGTGTACTTTTCCTACTTTTGTGGAATTCAAGGGAAAATGTTGCATTTAGAGTGGTCAAAAGGGAGCAATGTTGTACAGAACAGTGTTGTTATTTTTTTAAAGAACCATGTACAAACCTTAAATGTAATTTATATGTTTTGTATGCCATTTTCATGGAAGTATTTTGATCTAAATAATGACTTGGTAATTTAACTGTTTACATGATTCACTTGGGGACACAATGACATTGTACTTTCAGTTTGTTTTTGTGCCACATGCAATTGAGGTCTGTGCATTTCAGAGATTGCCGCATGACCTGCAGGCAAGCTTTCTGTACCCTGCACACACTGCCAGCCTCGTTTGTAAACTCCACACCTGGCATATCAAATAAAGAGAAGCAGAGCTTGTGGTTGGCCTCCTGTGGGCTGTGAGAGTGGCGGGTGTGAAGGAGCCTGCAGGGCGGGAGTGAGGCTGGGGCAGATGCTTGGGCACTGCTCTGCCCAGGTGCGAGAGGTTTATTCTCCACCTTAATGTGGATGTAGCAACAGTTTTGAGGGATGATGGAATTTATTTCCACTGCTTTTTAACATATTCAAACTTATGTTTGGTTAACATATATTATTTGAACGTGTCAGTAGAGCTCTGTGCGGTGCACAGGGCATGCACCTGTCACTTCCAGCCTCCATTGCCTACTGCCCCCACCTTCTCATCCATTAGCGATCACTTTTCTACATTCAGATTGCCTTTTTTCACTGCTTTTCCCTGCTGAGTTCTTTGCTCACCACCAAGATACAATGTCCAACACCTAGCTGTAAAGAAGGAGAGACTGACTTTGGCTCATAGTTTCAACAGCTTCAGGCCACAGTGGGCTCAAACACAAAATAGCATAGTGGAAGGGCCGGCTTGCCCAGAGGGCAAACTTCTTCCATCCTGGTGAGTAGGAAGCAGAGAAAAGGTGAGGGGGAGTCCAGGTCCTGTTCCCCAGGACCCACCTCTAACTAGACGTACCCCTATCCCATCTATGCCTGACCCAATCACCTTCCAAAAGCCCTGCCTCTGAAAGCAGGAGTTTCTTGTTGGGAGGTCATTCTTGATGACGGGCGATAGCAGCTCTCAAAGGTAAGTCAAATCCAGAAGGTATGAAAATGTTCTGATTGTAAACCTGCCCCACCAGAGGTTTCAGAGTCCCTGACAGGGCTGACTGTCCCGGGGCTGCTTCCTCCTGCTCCCACACCATCTGCACTACAGTCAGCTAAGTCAGAGGGCACCAGTGGCCACTGCCCACAGCATGACCTGGGCCGAGGCCCCATAGTGCTTCTGGCAGCCAGCAGACACCTTCCTTTGCCCTGAGCCACATGTGCAGGTGCTTGTTGACCTCCACAGAGCAGCCTAGGTGAGGCCGTGCTGTGACCCTGATCCACACAGCAGTAGCTCCTTGGTCAAATCTGATGCTCTAGCAGAGTTTGTGGCAGAACCAGCCCTGTCCTCCCAGCACCCAACCTGGCATGGTGAGGCTGAGTGCCCCTGGAGTGCCTGGGCTTGAGGGTCGAGCAGGCTTGGGCTGAGAGCACTGACAGAGTGCTTGGCCCTATTGTGACTTAGTTTATAGGACAAGAAGCCTCCCCATAGACCAGCTTCCACGTGGGTCTCTCCTCAACTTGCTTACATAGTTCCAAGGCTTCTGGACTTCAAGACTGAACAGCAGGTTTGGGGAGCAAGCTTACCAGGGAAGAAACTCAGATTAAATGGTGGTCATGGAACTGCCGCTGCCCTGGGCCCTGGCCCAGCAAAGGTATACTACAGGCCACCAACCTACCTCAGTGCTGGGAAAGCCCCAGACACAGGGCATGTCCCCTCCTTGCCCCTCTCCCCCACTGCTACCCCCAAGCCTCTTTTTATGTTATTTATAACCATTTATTCTAATTGCAAAATTGTGATGCATCTACAGGAAGATGACAGGCCTTTTAAAGGCCCTGCGATTGAGTCTCTGTGGCTCCTAGGGGTCCCAGAAACACTGGGCTCGAGCTAAGGAGCACTGCTCAGCCAGACCTTGTGTGCAGCCACAGAAGAGCACATTTCACAACTGCTTAGTGACTCCACACTAGCACTGAGCCACACATGTCTCTTGCCCTCCCTCTATTTTGTGGTAAACACTATCTGTTGACGCAGGCTGTTGGAAGAGCAGGGACTTTTCTATGCTGACTTCAGTGAGTCACTAAAGGCTTCAGTATTCGAGTTCTCTTGAAATAGAATAACTTTAAATTGAATCACTTTGTTTTTATCACTTTTTAACTGATTAAAATTGGATACATCAATAGGGTGTCAAATTACAGAATTTTACATCAGGTTAAACATTATTATCTCCTTAAGTATAATGATAAAAAACAAACCTTCAAGTTCTTTTTCTAACATTTTGAAATGTGATACAGTATTATCACTCTGCAGCTGTATCGTGTGTGTGTGGGGGATGAGTGTTCACGAGTGTGCTGAGAATTGAACCCAGAACCCCTATCATGCTAGGTAGGTGATGTGCTTCTTAGCTAAATCTCTATCCTCCAAATGTGCTAACTTTTGTTGGAATGTACCCTAATCCGTCAGCATTAATTCTATGTATTTCATAAAGGGACATTTAATCATTTGCGATGAACTTTTTATTATTATTTTAAGAATAGGAAGAATTTATTGAGAGAAAGAAAGCTTCTGTTGAAGGGTCAAAAGGGTGCCTGGCAAGTAGGCTGCCTACCAATGCCATTTCTCAAGGGTGTTTTATTGAGCAAAGCCACAAGGTCAGACAGGCTTAAGGTGAGACCGAACTATAGCAAGATTACAAGTACAGTCACCTAGGTGGCAAATCATAGGATGGATTTGAGGTGGGACAAAACTATGGTCAACCAATAAGATTACAACCAGTACAGTTGCTTGGGTAATATTGACTAAATGGGGATCAAATGGAGAAACAGGTCATGGAACAAGTAAGCACACAGAGGCAGACAGGGACTTTCCTGGAAGGGAAGAATAAGGAGGTTTGGTCCTCCATCTCAAAGTGATTGATTCCTATTTAGAGAATCAATCACTGCTGTTCATCTCTAGGGGAAGAATATAGGTCAGTGGTTCTTCTTGAAGCCTGTCCTTTAATGAATACACCTTCCCTTCTGCCACCTCTTGAGGACCCAGCCTTGTCTGACTGCCTGCAATATTTCTACCTAATTTAGCTATCTATGACGTTCGCTTCTCAAGAAGTCTGTGAAGGGGCAAAAGTCAAAAACCAATCTGGCCACTTCCAGATAAGGAAGTTCATAGTTGACACCAGCAGTCAGAGATGAACCACAAAGGATCTATCTGAAGGCCCTCAGTAGATGAGCAGTGTTCTTGTCTTGGGTAGAAGCACAGCTTTAAGTCTGGAGAAGATAAAGCCACAGAAACAAGGATATATGGACTAAATAAGAAAATCTACAGCATAATTATGAATATAACAAATAATATTTTCAACCAAAAGGAGCCAGTAATAGCTTTCCATAAAGCAGATAAGGAAAAGGTCCAGAATATTTCAGAATCTGACATGTCATTGCCCTGATATCTAATATCTTGAACAGTTATGAAAGTATTAGCAGGGGGATCAGTTATGTACTGAACATGCAGCTCAGTATTGAATAAGTACCTCCTTGTACTGCTGTTAGAATGTCCAATGCCAGAAATGTCTTGTAAATTTTACTTCATTCAGGAGAGAGAGAGAGAGGCAAGCTACAGTATCATTTAAGTCTAAACAAGTATATCTAGTTAAGGCTTCAGTGTGGGAGAGCTTTTTAAAAAGGAATTGTGTCAAGTTTACTTTGCTTCCAAGTACTATCACTTCAGCCAGGCCCTGCAAACTTTCTAAGATCTGTTCTGCTCCCTCGCTATTTCCCTCCTGGATCCCAAGCATGGTAGAGACTAAATACTCAATAGTATTGGATACTTGGTAATTGATCCTGAAAGTAAGAGTAATACTTTAAGTTTGCCTGGTACCAGCTCAAAGGAGGACACCGTCTTATTGCCAAATATTTAACATTAGGATGATAGAGTGAGTGCAGTATCTCTTATTCAGCTTAACTTTATTTAGTTGCCAAATAGCAAAAACATCCCATTAGTGAAGGGTAAGGGAGGAGTTTCATCGCTTATGTCCTCAGGCACCTCCACCTCCTCTGCAAGTAACTACTGTTACTTGTTTCCTGAATGTCTTGCGTAGGCATAAGTAAGTATGCATTCTTACACTCACAGTTTTTACTTTTTCACATGAATGCTAACCTTCTGTATACTCTGCCTTCTGCCTTGCTTCTTCCCACTGAGCAGCATAATTTTGCTCATAGGCAGAAGCTCTGAGTCTTACCATGTCCCATGATATATTAGCTTTCCTGTAACTAGGACAACATACCCAACACCCATAACTTAAAGGAGAGGTTTATTTTGGCTGACAACTTCAGGGGGCTCAGTCCATGTTTAGCTGGCTGCAAAGCAGTACAGTGTGGTAGTGGGGCCTGGGTGGAGGCTAGCTGCCCACTGCATAGAGGCCAGGAACAAACAGAGGGGAGGAGGAGCTGAGGACAAGAACCAGCTGGTCCAGCCACCTCTAACCAGGCTCCACCTCTCAACCCCCAACGGCAGAGCAGAGTAATCCACTGATGGGTACAGAGCTCTGACAGCCCACTCACCTCTTAAAGCAATGCGTCTCAAGATGGGACTTCTAGGGCACATTCTAGATCTAAATGATAACACTAGGTTTGGCCCATCACTCATGGCCAGGATTTGCATTGCTTCTAGCTATTGCTGACATGAAGTCTCACTGGAGAACTCACCAGAACACCTGCAAGTGTGTCTATAGGGAACACTCTTAAAAGAAGCTTTCTTGGTAAGGGCACAAGCAGTCACCTTCCAGAAATGAACCAGTATACATGGCTACCATACATCTGTGTACTGGTTACCCCAGCTCAAAATGAAGGCTTAATTATGAGAGGATGTGTTCTAATGTGAGGCACCTTCCCAAGAGGGGTCCAGGGCACAAAGCTCAGTGAGAATGCACACTTTTAGGCAGATAGGCCACATTAGAATTTTAAACCCATTATTCTGCTCACTCTGTCCTAAGAGTTTAGTGAACAGAGGTCTCACACACAGTGGTAGTGGCAGATTCAAAACAATCTCTCAGGCATTGGAAGGTCATGGGGCATCTGCAAGAACATAGGGAAGGTCAGACAAAAAAGACCAGTTGCTTGAAATGCCAGCAAGCACCTGCCTCGCCTGTACCTGGATGGCCCAAGCATCCATTAGTAGTTGTGGTCCACTCGGGGCTACCTCTAGCTGATGTGGAAGTGCCTCAGGAATGCTAGCACACTGTGTAGGAAGAGTGGGGCATCCAGAAAGTA